GGGGTTGCCTTTATAGTAAAAAAAGTTATTTCTAGATCCATCTTGAAGTACAACACAAAGAGTGACAGGATCATATCCATACGCTTACAAGGAAGTCCAGTAAATACCACTATCATTCAGATATATGCACATATTAAATACAAGCATAAAAATGCATAAAACACATGTAGCATTTAACAGATATACCCAGAAGCTCATCTGTTCATGGATATACTCTAATTCTCCCAACATTTAGGAAAATCTGTCTCTCCTTTTTTTGAAAGGTGCATAATTCTGCTTGGTCTAGCCAGTAATGGTTGCTTGGTTGGTTTACATTTTATTTTGGTGAAATATTACCAAATATTTGTTATTTTATCTCTTATTAGGATATAATTCAATGACATGAATTCTTTTCACCAGGCTGTACTACCATTAGCACTATCTATTCCAAAAATTTCTATCACCCTGAACAGGAAGGAACTTAGTACCCCTTTCCATCCCCCTGACAACTACCAAAAACAGTGTGCATTTGCCTGTTCTATATAATGAAGTTGGATCATGTACTTGGGGTTTTTTGTTTGTTTATTTCATTTTATTCAGCATGTTTTGAAGGTCTTTATAAACACTGGCCATTTTCTACAACTTCTTGTCCCCATCATCTGGAAATAGGAGCTTTACTAACAGTCCTGGACTGCTTTTAATTTGCTTTGAGCACCAATGTGCAGGCAGGTCCATTAAAAGAGCTTCCCAGTATGTGGGGAACATTTTGACCTTCAGAGTTCCAGAACAGCTATCATCTTATTGATGAGACCTCTTTTCTAAACAAATTACCTAACACACTTTGATAAGTACAAAAGACCAGAGAGTTTGTTTATAGTACTGGAACAAGATGCCTTTGAGTTGTGGTGCTGGAGAAGAGTACTGAAAGTACCACTGAGTGCCAAGGGAACAAACAAATCAGTCCTGCACAGGGTGAAACCAACTTCCTTCTTGGAGGCAAGGATTTTGAAGGTCTATCTCACATACTTTGGGCATGCTGCCAGGAGGGACCAGTCCTTGGAGAAGGACATTATGCCTGAATTGGTAGAGGAACAAAGGAGGAGAGGAAGACCTCAGATGAGATGGATTGACACAGTAACTGGGCTTATGAGGGCAGGTGTATCAGAGACAATGAGTTTGGCTCAGGATAGGGCAGAGTTCAGATCTACTGTGCCCAGGTTGCTAAGAGTCACAGGCGACCCAATGGCACATAAAAACAACAACTGAAATTAGAGAACTATGGATCTACCTCCTCACTGCCTTGAAGATACATAGTAAGCTTTGCCAAAAGACTGGGAAAGAGATGGTGAAAAATGATGGCAGATTTGGGCTAAGTCTTCACAACTTCCAATCCATTGGCTAGACAGCTGTCCTCCAAATTTCCTAGCATAGACTGGTGAATGCATCCAAGGCTGCATTTTTAATTGAAACAAGTCAATTGGTATCCCATTGATTCCTGGGGTCTTATTTTTTGCCAATGCCTTCAATGAAGCTTCCACTTCCTCTTTCATTACCATAGGCTCCTGTTCATACAGTCTGTATTTATTTCTATTCCTAAGAATAGAAACAAATATGCAAGCAAAATACTGCTGAAGATCTTTTAAAAATGGCTGGAAAAGTACATAGATAGGGAATTTCCAGAAATTAAAGCAGAACTTAGAAGAGGCTGTGACACCAGAGATATCATTGCTGAAGCCAGATGGATCCTGGCTGAAAGTAAGGAATACCAGAAGAATATCTATTTGTGCTTTATTCACTATGCAGAGGCATTTGACTGTGTGGATCACGACAAGTTGTGGCTGACATTGAGAAGAATGGAAATCACAGAGCACTTGAGTGTTCTCATGAGGAACCTATACCTGGAGCAGGAGGCTGTTGTGTGAACAGAGCAGGGAGCACTGCATGGTTTGGAATTGGGAAGGGAGTGCATCAGGGATATAATTCTATCTCCATACCTGTTCAATCTATATGCTGAACAAATTATCAGAGAAGCTGGACTCAATGAAGTGGAGTGTGGTATAAGGATTGGAGGGAGACTCATCAATAACCTGCATTATGCAGATGGCACAACCTTATTTGCTGAAAGTGAGGAGGGCTTGAAGCACTTGTTACAGATCAAGGAATGCAGCTTTCTGTATCGACTGCATCTCAATATCAAGAAAACAAAGATTCCTTACCAATGGACTAACAGGCAGTGTCATGATGGACGGAGAGAACTGTCAACAGCTTCATCTTGCTTGGATCTACAATTAATACCCTTGGCACAAGCAGTCAGGAAATAAGGAGACACATTGCAATGGGAAAAATCTGCATTTAGGGACCTTTACAAATTATTGAGGAGTAGTGATGTCAGTTTGAAAACTTAGGTGCATCTGATTCAGGCCATAGTCTTTCTGATTACTAGCTATGCATCTGAGACCTGGACAATGAATAAGGATAACAGAAAAATAATTAATCCCTTTGAGCTGTGGTGTTGGAGAAGAGCACTGAACATCCCATGGACGGCCAAGAAAACGAATAAATATGTCTTGGAGAGGGTGCAGCTGGAGTGCTCTTTGGAGGCAAGAATGATGAGGCTCCGTCTCACACATACTTTGGACATGTTGCTAGGAGGGGCTATTCCTTGGAGAGGGACATGATGCTGGGAAGGGCGGAGGGTCAGCGAAAGAAAGGAAGACCCTCAACCAGGTGGATTGACACGGTGAGGTGACTGCGGCAATGGGCTCTTGTGTGTCAGGAAGTGTGAAGATGGTGCAGGACAGGACTAGGTTCACATCTTTTGTTCATAGGGTCATTCTCGACTCGATGGCACCTAACAACAACTTCACAACTTTCCTTCCTGACCTACTGTGAGCAAAACGAACATTTAAAAAATGCCAGTTCTAAAAAAAAAAAAAAAAGCCAGTTCTGGCCAGACACTGTGCTTAATATGTAACCTTGCTCAGGTTCCACACGTCTTAGGAGATAGGCGGTAATACCATTACTTTACAGGTAGAAAATAGATTAGGTACTTAGTCTAAGAACCCAGCTAGTAAATGGGATTCCATCACCAACTTATCCTGTCAACAAAGCTGTGTCCTTCCACTATAGAGTATGACACATCTCAAACCCTTTCTTTATTTACTGGGAGATGAAGACATCGATGGCCTGGCCTCTTGCAGCATCCCCACTAGAGCCGGGGAGGTGGGGAGAAGACAATATAGTTACTGTTTTCTGTTTTCCCAAAGGGTCCCAGCTCATGATACTAGGGCATTGAAAATTCCCCACCAGGCCAGGCTCAAAGTGACTATGAAGCTTCCAAAACCCGTGTTTTTTCCTACTGATTAAGATCATGGTTTTCATTGTCTTTGTTTTAACAATCACAACATCTACAGTCTTTTTATAAAAACACAATCTAATGTCTGGGTCTTGAAAGTTCAATGGCTTTGTCCTATCAGATTATCTGTTTCGTCTTGAGTTTATTTGGGATGTAAGCCTCATCTTGCTTCTGTCTGAGCCTGGGACTATGCCCAGCCTCTGTCCGTCATAGCTGGCAGGTCAACACATTTCTACCGGCAATCACAGGGTCACAACCTTCACAAAAATCTAAAGCACCCCCCAAACAGAGCTCTATTCCCCCAACAGCTTGTTAAAATAAACTTGATGTTAAAACCATTAGCAAATGTGCTTTTCCGTGATTTGCCGCCTCAAGGCTGGTGAAATGGTCAGACATTTGCCTTTTTTAGGGTTGGGGGGTGGGGGGTGGGAGACAAAGACAGGGTTTCAGACCTTGCACAGCTGGCTGGAGAGAAGGACATCGGACATCTGCCTCTGCTACCCCTGCCACTCAGTTCTGAGGCCATGCCCTGAAAAGAGCGTGCTGGGCTGGGGGGAAGTCAGTCTGAGGCAGACAGTTGTTATATGGCTTTTGTCTTAAGGAAACCACCCATTACAGTGGAGCCATAACTCTAGGGCGCCAGCTGTCATCGCTATGGCGTGGCCCCTCTGGGCAGGAGGGCAGAGAAGAGAAAAGAGTGGTTGCGGCCAAATCTGCTTTTAGACACCTGAGCCTGGCTGGTCTGTAACCAGAGAGTTGTGGGTCTTCTCCCCATACCCATCTTCCCGTGGGAAGATCATCCTGGGGCCCTTTTTCTTGCTCTCCGCCCTTGAAGAGACAGCAGAACCGTCTCAGGGTTCCGATCCCGGGACTTGAACTCCGTGAGGGCTGAGCAGGGCTCAGCTGCGCCTGGCTGGCGTTTGGCGCTCTGATCGGGTGCCCCGCTTTGAAATCTACCCCCCTCTTTTTTTTTTTTTTCAAACCAGGTATGATGATGTCAAACGTGATGCTGATGCTACAGTTACAGACACAGCCCCTGCTGGCGCAGCCTCTCTGATTTCCTCTCGCTCTCCGCGTCCAGCGCTGGGCTGTTACAGACAAGTGCATCTCCTAACCAGGTCACATTTCATCCCGGACCTCCTTTCCGTCTCTCCCCGGAGTCAGACCGCAGGAGGAGGGCAGAGGGAGCGCTGCCCGCCGCCGAGGGGGAGGAAGACGTCCACACACTGCAGAAGCCGCGCACCCCAGACCCAGACGGAACCACGATGCGCGCCCCGAGCTGCGGTCGGCTGGCGCTGCCCTTGCTGCTCCTCGCCGCGGCCGCCCTGGCCGAAGGCGACGCCAAGGGGCTTAAGGAGGGCGAGACCCCCGGCAATTTCATGGAGGATGAGCAATGGCTGTCGTCCATCTCGCAGTACAGCGGCAAGATCAAGCACTGGAACCGCTTCCGAGACGTGAGTCTGCGGGCGCGCGAGGGCTGGGCCGGGGGCGCGGGGCGCGGGGACGCTGCTCGGCCCAACCGGCTGGTTGCATCCAGGTAAACAAGAGCACCCGGAGGTTTACAGCCCCGGCCCCTTCCCTGTGTGCTGCCTGGGCCCTCCAATCCCACAAGCCGACCCGGCGGCTCTGGCGAGGGACGCTCCCAGGGCGCGTACTCGAGACCTAACTGGGCGCGGAGAAGGGGTGTGGGATGTAGAGGGGTGCAGGGCAAGGGGCAGGGGCCCCCCAGGATCTGTACCACCGCCCGGTGCTTCCCGGAGCCGGCAAGATGCTGCAGGCTGCACATACGGGGCTCTGCAGAGGGGACGGCTGGGTGGGGCCGGCGCGGACCGCGAGGCCGCCGGGGCTCCAGCCTTCTATTCCCGACCTGGGCTTTGGGCGGCAGCCACCGACCATGGCCGGGGCTTTGATGGGGGGTGGAGGGCTCCTCCTAAGGTGAGGTGGCAAAGGCGCACGGTGACGAGGGGCGGGCGACGTGCCCGAGGTCCCCGGAGCCGAGTCAGGGGTCCCAGCGCGCGGGGCCGTGAGCGCGCGCCCCAGCGCAGAGGGGCCCGGCCGAGGAAGGGGCGCTCGCAGGCGCAGTGCAGCCTCGGAAGCCGGGTGGTCTGGCGGGACCGGCCTGGGCACACGGCAGGAGGGGGGACGCCTGCCGGAGCCCCCGCTTAACCTTGGGCCGAACTTTGCGGTGGGGGCGGGGCGGCGGCTGCGGGCGGCGCTGCAGCACTTTGTTTACGGCACCTGTAGATCAGGGGAAATGCGGGGCCCTTCCCAGAAAGGCCGCTCCCTTCGCGGGCCGGGGGCGGGGACGCGGGCCAGGGGATGGGGGGGCGGCGGGGGCGTGGCCGGGACCCGGGCGGTCGGGGGCTCTGGGGGAGGGGCGCGGTGTGGCCAGCTACTCTGCGACCACGTCCGCGCCGACCCGGCCCCCACCTCCCTGAAGACCCGGTCCCCACTCGTCTCGGACCCTCGGCGTACGCACCGGCTACTCGGTGACCTTTGTGCTCTTCTTTACCAAATTCCGAGCCCCCAGAAGTTCCCTGGGAAGGCGTTTAAGGTGCACACGCTACTAGGCGACCCGGCCAGCTGATGGGAAAGGCGAGAGATGTGCCACTGCCTCTCTGGGAAGTTAGAGTGGCGGGTTCGGAGGCAGGAAAGGCAGACCCAGGGCCCTGCCCCCCGCCTCACCCCCGTGGCCGGCCCGGCCGCGCACCTGCGGCCTCCGGCCTGTGCGGGCGGCGAGGGGGCGGCAGCCGACAGGCCTGACCGGAATCCATGTGTCACTGGGCCCGGCCTCCTGCAGGCTTGCTGGCTGGCGGGACTAGTGAAGGTCAGAGAGGAAAGCGATGCTTAATCGGTGCAGTAAAGGCTGGAGAAGAAAACCCTTCCCCCCCCCCCTTCTGCCTCCACCTGCTTCTACAGCCCACTCTGTGGGTGATGAGAAAGGAAGGGCTGCCCACCTGTCTCCCTGTACCGATGCCAGCGCTGCCCCTTCCTCTCAGAACATCAGAAGACAGGCCCTAGATTAGAAATTCCGCAGGACCTGCTTAACTCATGGAAGGTTTTGGGGAATACATTCATTTGGTTTACTCTACAACCACATTTAAGGTCGTCTTGGCTGCACGAATATGGATCAGAGAGGAGAGAAGGAAGGCTGAGCGTGAGGGCCTGGCACTGGGGTCCATGGGCAGCTTCTGTAGAAAGGCAGGAGGCTGCTAACTCCAAGTCACTGCAGGCATAACTCGAGGGTGCCATGATGTGAATGGAGCCTTGTGGAGTTGTGCAGTGCACAACCTAGACACAAGGGCTGTGCCAGCACAACAGACTCTTTCTCCACTCAGCAGTGCAAGCCCCAGTTTCCCACCCCAAGCTCGGAAGGCCCTCCAACTGGGCAGAGTAACAAAAGGGCTTTCTGTACATTTTAATCTCAAACCATCCGGCTCTTTTAAAAATCTGCTTCTTGGCTACTCAAAGGAGAGGTTGGAATTCCTTCTGAACCTTTAAGTGGCTGCCAGTTTGAGCCAGAACCTCCTTGTCCCTCACAGAATGGGCCCACATCCCTGGTTTGGTAGGTAGAAGGGAACCTACCAGGAGTAGTGGGTGTTCTTGGAGAATAAGAATGATGATAGAGTGAGTGAGGGAATGTCTCATTAAATGACAGAATTGAGGGAGGACGTTTGAAGAAATCACGTAAAAGGGGTTCAGGACAAGGGAGAGGATGAAGCAGGTGGGAGGATCGCTCCACTGTGGGAAAGGTCAAAGTTGGTGAGAGGGGAGTGGGACTTTGCAGCAGGATTCAAGGGAGGCAGGACTGACCAGCTGAGTAATCCTCTCTCCTGTGGGGGAGCCGCTCTCATATCCATGCTTGAGCAGATCTCTTCCAGGGCTGGCGTCCTGCTGCCAGGGGAGGAGGAAAGGGACTGCCATGCCAGGGGATGGGAGGCTGTGAGCAGCGCTGGGGCGAAGCATTGGCCCAGCTCCTTGGCTCACAGATCTAGCTGTGCCCCATCCTGGGTAGTCTGGGGTTTTCTGAGCCCTGCTCCCCAGTGCTCCCATTTCCAGATCATTCCTTGTTGGTCTTCATGGGTTAGACACAGGTCTTTGGAACAAAGCATCCAGATCTTATTGAGATGGAGACTGCCGACAAGTCCATTAGCAGCATTCTCAGGGCAGCTTTCAAAGAGCCCAGCTAGGAAGAATCAACTGTTCTCTCTCATCTTGGCTCTCCCCTACTTTGTACTCCACTTCCATTAAATTTTAATAACATTCATGAGTGCCCAACCTAGTGCTTGGCACCAGGAGGTAGTCTGTTCCAATAGGTTGACTCTCTGATGGCAGTAGGCGTTTGCATCTGCCAGTTCCTGCAGTAAGTCTTTGTGTGCATCCCCTCTTGTGCTTTTTAACAACCTGTGACAGTTATCTTTACAAGTTAACCAGCCATTAAGTCCACCTCATGGTGACCCTCTGTGTTCAGAGTACAACTGTGCTCCAGGATTTTTTCACCAGATCTTTCTTCTGCCGTATCTCTGGGTGGACTTAAACCTCCAACCTCCTGGCTAGCAGGTAAAAGTGTTAGCCGTTTGCACCACCTGGGAATCCCCCTTCATTTGATATTGTGACTGTGTACCCTTGAGTCAGAACATAGCTGACCCTCCAGTAAGTTTTCAGAGGTAGTAATTGCACGGCAGGAAATGGTCTGTTTTTCTCCCATGGAGCAGCTGGGGGATCCGAACCATGTACTTTTGGGTTGGCAGTGCCGTTCTCCTTTTTATGATTGAATAAATTTGTTATTGCTGTTAGGTGTCATCGAGTCAAGCACGACTCATAGCAACCCTACAGATAAAAGATCCGAACCCTATTGTATCCTGCACTATCCTCACACTTCCTGACACACAAGAGCCCACTGCAGCAGTCACCGTGTCAACCCACCTGATTGAGGGTCTTCCGCTCCTTCGCCAACTCTCCACCCTTTCCAACATCATGGCCCAAGGAATAGTCCCTTCTACCAACATGCCCAAAGTATGTGAAGCAAAGAATCATCATTCTTACCTCCAAAGTTGGAAAACTAGAAATTGTTAAAAACAAAATGGAATGTATGAATATTGACATACGAGGCATTAGTGAGATGCGATGGACCAGCTTTGGCCACTTTGAATCAGATAATCACATGGTATACTATGCTGGGAATGAATAACAGAGCAAGGATGGTATTGCATTCATAGACAAAAAGTCAATTTCAAATTCTATCCTTAAATACAATGTTGTAAGTGATAAGATAATATCCATATGCACAACAGGAAGACCCACTAACACGACTATTATACAACTATTTGCTCCTACATCTAAAGCCAAAGAGGAAGAAATTGAGAATTTTTACCAAATTTTGCAGTCTGAAATTGACCAAACATGCCATCAGGATAATTGCTGACTGGAAAAAACTTTGTTGTTATGTGCCGTTGAGTCGTTTGCGACTCATAGCGACCGTATGTACAACAGCCCTAAACCGTGCTCTATCCCGTGCCAATCTCATTGCATCTGACACACCCATCCCGATTACCCCAGTCACGGAATCAATCCACCTCATAGAGGGTCTTCCCCTCCT